CTAATCCTAATAATACATATTTTATTTTTTTATTAATAAATTACTGACAATTTTTGTCTCTCATGCGAGAAAATTTGATAGGCCAATCAAAAATCCACTAGTGAGTCAAAAAAATTAGATAGGCCAATAAAACAATCAAGTATGCATTTTTATCGTACTTTTCAAAATATCTTATGCGTGGAAAATTTTACCGATCTTTTTCAAAAACTCAAGAGATTACTGGACTTTTCCAATAATCTAGAAATTTTTGGTAGTGTTAATTTTCAAGGGTTGAGATTTTGCCAACACTTTTGTAGGGTGCTGATTGCACTGACAACTATGTGTGTTCCATAATGATTCCAAACTTGTATAAATATGTCTCATATGTTGTTAAAAAAACATTTCTAAATATTCGTATCTCACATTTATGTACTTCAACAACGCAAAGCCTCCTATTGATTTTAGGCTCACAGAGGACACCTTTTTTGATGTTCTGAAATCCAAATTGGATAATCTCTTGCACCATACCGACAACATAAACATGGTTAACATCGAGTACCATTCACCATCAAGCGATAATAAAGGGAAGATTAGTTTCGGTAAGTTTGATTTGAAGACGAATGAAGACTTAAAAGCCACGTGGAACATATATCACCTATACAAAGCAAAGGGTCTGAACAACGTGGACGTGACAATTGGGAGATATGTCGATGATATTATCAATATGTTGAAACATCCTTAATCATCTAGTACATTTTAGTTATGTTCATGTTATTTTTTTAAAGTTATGTTATGTTAAACAATATTCGTGTTAAGTTATGTTAATCTCGCAATAATGTAATGTTAAATTTTCATCTAATAAAATGTTAAGTTAAAATGTCAATAATATTTAAATTATTCATTACAAAACCAAAATAATACATAAATAATAAAATCTGCACATACCCACCACAAGCAATGTGTGGTATCTGCAATACCAAAACATAAACCTCGCCATTTGGGTTTACCAAATCCATGAGGTTATTTGAAAGAAGTATTATCATTTGCATCCCCTAGTGGTCATACATGATAGGTGTAGGCGGTGACACATCATCTAAATGTCTTCCAGCATGGAAAGGTCCAACATCATCCGCAGGCTAAACAGGTGGAATGATTCGAGGGTGTGATACTGTAAAATACCATTCTAAGTAACCATTTGCCCAAGGAACTACACCTATATTGCAATATCGCTAATAACAATGACACTACTGACAATGTTAAACATAAATCATCTATCAATGCTCTTAGATGGAACAACATAGATTAGTCGAGGGATGCTTTGAGCATACCCTAACTAGCACAAACACCTCTAAGGTAAATATCTAGCCACTGAACTCTCCCATCACATATAAACCGAAAACAAAAACGTCTCATTAATTTCCTGATGCACTTTATTGTCTATGTAGGTTATCCATATGACATCCTCTATAGTCAATGCATTGATCCTCCGCCTGTACTCTCGAAGACCTCCTGAATGTGAATGTCTGGCCCTCCATCTAGTGGCTCATGGGGAGCCATCAATGATAGGACCACTAACATGCATGTCACAAATGAACAGGAAATGCTCGTATATCTAACATTGCATAACAAGAAGAAATTGTGGAACTATGTGCTTGCAGGTATAATCAGGATATGATCAAAGCTCATAAATAAGCAAGGCGTGTTTGGCCCTGATAATGTCATAATTTTGTTGAGGACAACACCTAAAGTTGTAACAACTATTAAAGTAAATGATAACAACGCATGAAGACAAACAAGTACTAAAGTTGGAAGTCAAAGATGCATAAGATGGTTCATCAAGCTATTTCTCATAATCAAGCTAAAAAATTAGGGTTTTATGATCATCAATGATATCCTTTAATGATGGCATATGAATTGAGGATATCTCAAGCCTTATCGAAAAGAATATTCAAGTGAAGTGCTTATATGATTGGTATACTTAGAAAAAGGACTTGAAGATTCAAAGTGTGAAAGAGAAAAAGTGTCAAAACTCGTCTGATAGTGTCTACTTGAGTGATCAATGTTTTGTAAAAACACAAGAGCGCTTTCGTAATTAATATGGTTAATCATGTTAGAATAAGATTTGTTCATGACATACATTCCTTGGGTTTTGATGATAACAAAATATTTAAATAAAAATGGTTATATTTAATGTGTGTTTCTTGTATCCAGGTTATAATACGTCTAAATATTTATATATGGAATTTGGTATACAAAGGAAAACTTGAGAGAAGCTGAATTGCTAGCTTCTGGTGGTGTATAATCTGAAGAACACTTGTTAAGTGATGTATGGCATAGACTCTGAAGCTGAAGGCCTCAGCATCAGAAAAAGCAACATAATTGTCTCTATACGTGGTGAATGTAAATTGACTTCTGGTATCATTCAGAGTTGGTGATAAAGCTGAAGCTGTCCGTACTGCATAAAGCAAGCTGCATTGTCAAATTAGTTTGTCAGTTGGGGTCTGAGTTCACAAGGCTCAAGAAAGGTTGACATGTTTTACGGATATCTACTCTCAACGGCTCTATAGTGCATGATATTTTTGAAGGAGAAACTATTATAAATCTTTGTGTCTTCTATTATTTACTTGCTTCTGTTAACGTCCGCTGCTAAGTATAATCAGAACCTTAATACCAATTTAGATTCTGAACTCTGATCAGACGCAAACTAAGAAAATTGAAAACACAATTTAACCCTCCCTTCTTGTGTATTTTTCTCACCTTCAAATCACACACACCTAAAACTATTTTTGAAGCCTCTCTTTTCCGAATAAAATCACTAAAAATATTTTTGGAATCTAGCCAAATGAATTTAGAGCTGTCAAACTGATTATGACAAGTTTTTTTTAACTATCTAATCAATTAGAACAAATGCCTAACCTATTAGATAACAACTAATCAAGTTTATTATCGATTATGAGAGTGTCTTAATGAATGGTAATGACTCTCTATCAAAATCTTAAAATTTGAGCAATAATAATTTATTATTGCATGTTCTTAATTGATTAACTATTCAAATTGATCATTTGTTTTGCCCATAAATTTTTTTCCTAAATTGAACTAATTCCTTGCCTATAAATAAAGGTCTTCTCTTTCATTTCTAAATATATAGAAAACATAAGAGATGTTTCCCTCCCTCACTTGAATTAAATAATAAAAATTGTTAATGGGGATTTGACCTAGGATGTCGAATCTTTGAAATCCTATAAATTTTTGTATCCCCTTTTTCATTTGAAAGAAAATTAACATTCCATCTCAATGATGTATAGATTATTTTTATGAGATAAAATATATCTTTTACTAGTGATTTTGTGAATAAATCAGTTAACTAATTTGCGGTGTCAATAAAAATTAGTTCAATATTATCTTTTTGTACATGCTCCCTGATAGTTTGCCACAAAATATAGATACCTTTTTGTACTTGCTAAAAGTACAATGACTGAAAATCGCTAACTGTGTAGGGTTGTTGGAGGGTCTTAGTGTTGGTGTGGTGTTGGAGAAAGCTCTCGCAAGGGTGGTGAGAAGTTCTATATATTGATGTTTTATGAGTTAAATCAATGTCCTCCCTTCAACTTTAGGGTTGAGGTATTTATAGAAATCTCTTGGGTCTGCATCTTAGACTCCAAGGAAGCAATGTCAAAACTTTCATCTCTTAAGAATGGGAAATGAATAGTAGGGGAAACTTTCATCTTTTAGGAGTGGGAAATGAATAGTAATTTCCCCTACTATACTGGAGAATGTGACCCTCCTCTTTGAGTTCCTTTCCTATATTGTTACTAGGTATTGACACGTCTTTTCTCACATTTTCATAAACAAACAATGTTTTCAATCAACGGGCGACCATTACAAATATTGGGCGCATGTCCCAATAAAGACGACTAGGAAGCTGGCTAGGGCAATATATTGTTGTCTATCCTTAGAGAACCCCTATAGTGTCTCTCGTGGACCCTTTGAGAATATACTAGTACACATTTCCTCAAGTATGAGAGTCTGTAAAGGGTGAAGTGATTTAGTTTAATTGCATTCTCTCGTTTGGACGAATCCCTCAATCAAGGTTGGGTCGAGTCTCTCAGGCATACTTGGGGTGAGTCTCGCAGGCATACTTGAAGTGCGTTTCTCAGGTATGGTCAAGTGTCAATGAGGTGAATCCTCAAACGTTAGTTGAGGTAAATTCCAAAAAGTCAGTTGAGGTGAATGTGTGGACAACATAAATGTGATCATTGATGATTTAGCTTTGAAAAATCAAATCGACTTTAATCCCTCACATGTGCCAGAAATGTGAGGAATATTTTGTGTTTGTTGCAGGACCTAGTGAGAGGCTTTTTAATTACCCATATGACTAACCTCCAAATCCCTATAAATGGATTCACCCTAGCCTTTTCATCTTTTCGAATATGTTCTCCTTCAAAATTTTCATAAAAACTCTCTTATAGTCTCTCATGAGCAAATTTATTTTCAATGCACTATGGTTCTCTTAGATCATTAAATCTTAAGATATTAAATTTATGAATCATCTCAATTATATGTTGAACGTCTACTTACTCAATCCATACTAAAATACAAGCTAATGGACCTATATATCCAAACCAATCCATTTTGCCAGCTATTCTCGAAACATCAAAATTTATTTTCCCTTAAATGTTAAACTAAGCCAAAGTATAATGTAATAATATACACATTAAAAAGAGGTGATGACAATTGACAGGTAAGAGATTATAGACAGGTGTGTATAATATTAAAAATAATTAAAAGGACTGTTCTTATGTTACTCTAAGTCACTGCCAGTCCATGTGCCAGTTTGGAAATACATATTTATTTCCTTTCTTAAATCCCATTATCAATGCTTTCTATAACACTCTGGCAGACCTTTCAAACAGCTTGTCACTAAGATCTCTTCTCTCACTTAAATTCATGTTAAATTCTCTCCTACTCCATCATTTTCATCTTCTCACTTTCTTTTCTCTCTAACAAACTCACCAAAAACAATGCAAGACTCAATTGGAATTCCTGCATGTTTTTCTTCAACAAGTAACGATGATCATCATCCTCATCATCAAGGAGCTGTTACACGTTCAGGTAGAAGCCTTTACATGTCCGTATACAGAACAAAGTTAGCTGATCAATGCCGTTTGATCACAATCACATGGTGCAAAAACCTGATGCTCCATGGTTTATCAGTATCAGTCGAAAACCCCGAGAAGGAAACTCAATATAGCTGCAAAGTTGAGCTAAAACCATGGTACTTTTGGAGGAAACAAGGTTCGAAACGGTTCGCGGTAGATGGAAAAGAAGTTGATGTTTTCTGGGACCTTAAATCTGCGAAGTTCAACGGTGAAACGGAACCAGCTTCAGAATACTACGTAGCAGTTGTTTGTGATGAAGAAGTTGTGTTGCTTGTTGGTGATTTGAAGAAAGAAGCTTATAAGAAAACCGGGTGTAGACCATCACTTACTGATCCAATTCTTGTTTCAAAAAAGGAACATATATTTGGAAAGAGAAAATTCTCAACTAAAGCTAAGTTTCATGAGAAAGGAAGGTGTCATGAGATTTGTATAAAGTGTAAGAACAAAGGTAATACGAATGTTGTTGGAGATGGAGATTCTGTAAAAAGTGGCAGTGTTAAAGTTAAAGTTGAACCAGAGATGGAGATAAGATTTGATGGGGAGTTGATGATTCATGTGAAGCATTTGCAATGGAAATTTAGAGGGAATGAATCGGTTTATCTAAACAAAATGAGAGTTGAGGTGTATTGGGATGTTCATGATTGGTTATTTAGTCCTGGTTTAAAGCATGCTTTGTTTATTTTTAAGCCTGTTTTTTCCTGTAATTCTCTGTCACCTATGTCTTTGTTTTCTCCATCTTTGTCTTGTTCATCTTCCTCCACTACTCCATTATCAAACCAGAGAAGTAGCAATGGTACTTGTGAGTCAGTGGAAGGTCATGGTGGTGATTCATTATCATCACCATCATCAGAGTTTTGTTTGTTTCTATATGCATGGAAGGTTGAATGAACGTGATGGACGGAAGTGATTGAGTTACATATCACGTGGCCAACAATAATTCTTTGTCCAGAGGCATCTATGTCAACATCAGTTATCTACTCCTTTGAAAAATAGTACTAGTTTTTCTTGATCTAGTATTGAAAAATGAGAACAAAGTTATGTGTATGTTATGTAGTTATAGATATATTATAATCTTATAATATAGTAGAGTACACGTATGATTTTTTGTAAGAGAAATAATATAGACATTATTAGATTAGTGAATGTCTGTATTTGGTCATATAAATAAAGTTGATGCATGTGAAATAAAGTTGGTGTCCCGGGAAGTGAGGACAACTGTTTGGTGATGATGTAGAAATTAATTAGAATCATGAGAGATAAAATACAAAAGTTTGGGATATTATATAGTACAAAATAAGGAAGGTTGGTTCATAATTAGGATTAGGAATACTGTTATTAAGCTCCACCAGTGAAGATATTTCTGCCGTGTCAATGCTGCCAAGACCTAATAAATTATAAATGCAATTGTTACGTGATAGAACTAGATTTGATTGGAAAATATGGGTTTGGAGTTTTTAACGAGATAGAGAAGGTTGATCCGTAAGGTTAGTATTATAATATTCAAATTAGTAAGAGAGTGAAAAGTGAAGTTTAAATAAGAAAAAAATTGAATATTTGTGAAGTGACACATTTTCCTTTAGTATTTTACTATTCAAGTTAGTAAGAGAGTGAAAAGTGAAGTTTAAATAAGAAAAAAAATTGAATATTTGTGAAGTGACACATTTTCCTCTTTAAATAGAAGAGATAGTTGATAATTACATGTGTGCGAAACGGTGTAGGATGCGCTCAAATGTTGGATTGATCTAGGTTGTTAACATGACATTAGCGTGATGGACTAACGATTTGCAACATGGAGGAAACATGTCTACTTGTTCCATATCTAATAACCCGCTGCTTAATAATTAAGCCTTCGTATTATGGGCCTTGAGGATGGTCCCGACTAATTCCCGCCCCCACCCCCTTGTCTCTGCTTTGCAGGGTGAGGATTTGTGGCACACATCATTATTCGGTCACAATATTTGCGACTGTGGAAGTCTTAGATAAGGCGTTGTTGTTCTTAGGAAGAGACACATTAAATGTATCTTTTGCAATTCGTAACATAATGATCATGATCTGAGTGTCTAACATGTCTTTATTTGCTAGCTGGTAATGATATTTCCCCTCTTTAGAGTACTTAAGTGCTTTTGAGTAATTTTTAAGAAGATCTCAATCGTTGGTAGTACGAGGTAGATCGTATGGTCCTTAGTCCTAAATAGAGTATAAAGGGTCTTTGAAACATTACTTTACCTTTTTTGGTGCCAGTGATGTCTGAAGAGAGTGTCTTTGTTTCCTTTATCGTTCTTCTCTAATAACATTTTATTTTGACGTTGAATCAATTCAGACGATTTTGTTCGTTGACATTGATTTTGCATGTTGGACTACTTTTTCTTCTAAGTCTCAAAGTCCACATTCCTTTTTTGCTATTGCTTCCTTTCCCTAGGGCTTACAAGTTAGTGATCGCTCAAGATTGCTTACTTCATTGTACTCGCATCAATTCTTTTTACAGCATATTTTTATCATTATGATGGTATCAACTTCGACCAAGAAGGTTGGTAAGGAAATTTCAGGCGAGTGGGTGAATCCATGTATGCTAGGCACTATTGATAACCCATACTTAGTGAGTTATTATTTACCTTAGTTCTTTTCACAATGTTAGTTTTATTACCTTTTTAGTAGTTACTTTTAGTTCATTTTAACTGTTTTATAGCAATTAACTTGGAGCATAATAGGTGCTCCCTTTTGTTGGTTTAATATTTTTATTGTTTGATTTAAGGTTAGCTATGACAAGCTAAGGCACGAATGTAGTGGACAGTACCTGGGAGTGCTAGCTGAAGCAAGAAGATGGACTTTGCCAAAGAGGTTAAATAGAGAAAGTAGCTGAGTCATAGGGAAATCTGGAAGGAATGTCGTATTAGAGGGAAAATTGTTTTAGACTAAAGGAAATTCATTTAAATTAAATGGATAAGACCAAAGAGGTGCTAGAAGACAAAGATGATACAATAGTACAACCACCACTTTGTATGCTCTGTAAGAAAAGACAATGCCGCCTGCACTCTGCTGTGGCGGTCTGTCACAAGACACTTTGTCTTCCACAAATGATCCTCTGTACCTGATTCCTTGGAGGCTAAGCTGAAAGAATGTTGATAAAAGCATTGAATCTGTTATTGGGTTAGATGTGTTTTCCTTATTTCTGGCCTATGATCCAAGACAACACAAGTAAATCCTATTGGAGGATTATAAATAGACCTTGTTGAAGATTAGAAAGGGAGTTCATCAATGCCAACAATACAAGATAGAACATAATGGTGTGGGGTTAGTTGGGAGAAAAGAGAGTTCTTCTTACCATTTCCTGTATCAGCTGCTAAGCTCTAGCGTAATTAGAGTCATCCCTTGCTGATGATCCCTCTCAAGGAATCCTTAAGTTACTCTTAAACTTACTTTTTTTCCAGTAACCGTTTAAGAATATGTCTTTTGAGAATCATGTATGTAGTTTTTACTTAGCTCTTTATGATTTAAACCTTTTCTATATTGAGCAGTGAGAAGTTAATTTTATGATGTTTTTATGTTAAATGAAGTGCTATTTAGTTCCTTGTTTTATTATGTGTTAACTTGCTTACAAATCTGATTCTTTGAGTGATCAACTTAGAAAAAGATAACAACAGAGATCCAACAACAAGTGGAATTTATAATAAAAGTAGTTGAAAAGAGTAGGATATAGATACTCACTTGATTAGTTCATGTAGAGATAAGGAACTACAACTATAAAGGATTTCAGAATATAATAGACGTATTTTAGGGTTATAAATGCGACTTAGAAATCTATTCTCTTGCCCTATTAATGCATGCTTGATGTTGTAGAAATAGACCTCTAGATCACTCTGACCATTCATGGCATGACACTACATTTCACGAACACATAGTTACATCATTAGCATTAATGGACCTTGGCTCAACATGCACTCTCTAATATCATTTCACCCTTACTCTACACTTTCTAGATCTGGTTTAAAGATGAAAGATTGAACTTGTGACATTCATATATTATTTTTATCCTTGCTCATGCTTAAATTTAAAAGATAGTTTATTATAAAATCAAACTAAGTAACATTCACTCCCTGTGGGTACGATATCCTTACTTATTATCACTTGCTACTTTTAAGCATACATGTATACTTACATATGACTCATTTACAAGCAACAACTATCTCTACTTTTGTATGTAAATTTGTTTTTAATCAAGCTTTGACAGACATGAGTTTGGTAACCGACTTGGGGGTGTTTCCCTCAGACGAAGGTAAGAGGATTTGCAGTCGATGTGATGGATTCATCATCCCTTTTCACGAATACATGTTCTCTATCATAGGTCATTGTCTTCCGTTCAACCAATTCGAAGTAACTATATAGAATGACTTGTTGATTTCCTCTTCAAAGTTGCATATAGTTAGCTAGGCATTCATTAAAATATTCTAACATCGGTGCAAGTACAAAGGAGTAAGCTAATCATAACACTATTTTTTATCTTTCAAAGTTTGAAACATCTCTTATCATGCAAACAACTCTAGTCTGCTCTCCTTGGGGAAACATTTCAGGTACTTTGAAGCTTATTCTGACATCATGCATTATTTTGATGATTGCCTTTACCTGATTACTCCTCTGACTGAGGAAGCGTATGTGAAGATCTGCAAATTAGAACTTTATCCTTCATTTGTTTGCTTAGACATCTTTATTAAGTCTTTGACTTATATTAACTATTTGACATGGGGAAGGTTCATATCCTTACAAGGAGAGAGACCTGTCCTTAGAGAAGTTATACTTGAAGAGTCAGTTGGTGGCTTTCTGTAAGGAGCTTGGATGCATCTTTAGAGTTGTCACGTCTAGTGGGGCGTCAAGAAATTGGCCGAAATGATGCATTTAGACCCGTTGACTGATGGATGCCAAATCAAAAGAGGAAAGGAATAGATTTTTTGGTAAGTGGCACCAAGGCCTTAATTTTCTTATTTTCTTTCCTTGAAACTTCTATATTGTCTCATTTCTTGATGATGTAGATGCGATGAAGAGTGGGGATGCCATGCTACTATTAAAGAAAGAGATTTGGGTGGCTGCTACTTTGGTTAGAATTCTAAGTACTCCTTATGTTAGGGGAGCTTCCATTTTTGGTACACTTGCTAGGACGCCTTCTGGTCCGGTTACTGGATAATTTGTTTGAGAACTCTTCCTTCTGTTTGGATGGAAGTCCAGGATTCTCTCGACCGAGTTGTGATGGATAAAGTCTTAATCTTCATAACAAATAGACAAGGAAAGGTTGGAATTCATATAGGAGATAAAAGAGATTCAGGTTGAGAGACCTCTTCGTAAGCGTCCTCAGTTTAGAGCTGTAGAAGGGAAGGCTCCGTTCAAGTGGAGAAAATTTTGATGTTTCTAGCTCATCCTGGCCAAAAGAGAGGCTTTATTACCTTATCTTCTTTGAAGGGATAAGGATAAACTGAAGGAATGATTCGATGATCTTACTATTAACGGAATGTGTATTTGGAGGAGATCTGAGGTGCTTCCAATAAATTTTTGGCTGTATAGGCTGTCGTGGAGTCTTTTGAGTATCTCGACACTCTAGTGGAAAAGGTACAACTTCTTTCCTAGGCAGTAGCCAAGAAGAACGAGGTTTTAACTTCTGTTTAGGCATCTTTAAAAGAGGTTTTGACTTCTTACTTGTTAAGGCTGCTCTATAAAAGGTGAGCCGATCCTCATATCCTATTTAGAAAAGTATAGAAGCGCTGGATAAGTCTCTAGAACAGTCTCGGGGAATTGAGAGGAATGTTGGGGATGGTCTTCATGCGATGCGCCAAGAGAAACCCAATCTTTCCAAAGATTTAGCTAATTCGTTACGGGAGGGTTTCTCAGTTGTCAAGGGTGCT